TTTTAATCTTGAAATTTTTCCTCTAATTAATATTGTTTCAACTATCGTTAATACATATTATTAATACACGTTGAACCTTAAAATATATCAATATCTTTTTCGTCGTTATAATCTATTAATCTTAAAATGTTGTTTTTTTTTATTAATAACTATTACCATCATATTATGTGCCTAAGAACATAATAATGGTATAATATTATAATAATGGGTGAATAACAATAAAATCAATGAACTATACAAGGACAGAGCATGTTATACGTATGGTGGGTATTTTGATGCAGTGTAATTGTTCTACTGGAAATTTAAGGGGTACCTAACTCTTAAAGTGGGTAAATATGCATTAGATGATACTGATAATTTTAATATAATTTGTATTTCGTATTTCTTGACAAAATGCACAATATTTTACATTTTTAGGCTTTCTTAAGTTTATATCGAGTTTTAGAAAGTTTAGAGCATTTTTCACAAACTGTCGAACGTAAATAATTATTGTATGAAAATATATTATTGTTGTAATAAATAATAATACTCCATATTATACTAATCGGTAAAGTTACATAATTCCATAGTGATCTGTGGGCTGTGACCAGGTACCTACTGGCGAATGTTTATAGATATGCAACACTCGTTGACCTGTGTTTCATATTTATACAATAAATTAAAGATTAATATTTAAGAAAATATTTCAGAGTCGCTTCCGGGGCAGTCCCTAAGTCACACTTATCTTTATTATGTTTTCTCCATTCTTTTTTAAGTATTTGTATTGATACTGTGTTTTTTTTTTTGTATACATCTAGAAATTCAGTCACTGAAACAGGTGTAAAAAAAACGTATCGTGGTGTTTGTACCATTTACTTGGGTCATTATCCCGATTGCTGTACACTGTGAAGTAATTTTACACCGGTTCTGACCAAAGAACTTTTAGTACAAGATTTATAGTAATTAAATGCTTTGATTTGAAACCTCAGTACTTTTTTTTCTGGTAGGTGAGCGAATCTAGTTGATACTTTTGGGTGTTCAACAATTAAAATTTCAAGCATTTACTTTTCTTAATAATTTTGAAAAGCCAGAATTTTTACTCAAAACTATAGTTTTCAACAAAATCAATCATATTAATTTGTTCTTATTAAATAATGAATCACTGCAAGTACTCGAAATGTTAACAAAATTATTATTTTATATCCATGGTAAATTTTGAAAATGTTTTGAATCTTTTTGCGCTGTTAAGTCATATAACATTTTCCATTTTTTTTTAAATTTTTTGCTCTCTGTCAAAAACCTTAAAATGAAATACAAGATTTCTTATAATATGTTTTTATTAAAATATTAAATATATACAGGCACGACTTTTAACATAAATAAGTTTTTGGGCTGGATACACGATAAAATATGTTTCTGACCAATTTTTAGTAAGGTTTTTGTTAACCGTGCTATGGTCTTTTTTTATAAGTTTTCAAAGTTCAAGTTTTGCCAAATATCATCAAAATTCAGGAAATTTATAAATTATTTTGTATTTAGTACCTAAGTTTGTTTTTTAACAGTACTTATCTCATATTCTCATTAAACAATTATACAAGGTATGGAAGTATGTTATAAAACGAATGGCATCCATACCGACTGCTTTAATATTAATGCAGTCTTTATACTCGTTTGCAGGACAAAAAGATATTGAAGTCTGAAGAAGTGTGAATTATGATACTGAAACTTAATAATAAAGAATAAGTCATGAAAAAAAATGTATAAAAAATAATGTTTGACCATTTACCGTTAGGTTTGAATGCATAATTTGTGAAAATATTAATATATAGGCAGTCAAAGTTCACGAAAAAAAACTTCCATGCCAATAATAAAGTTTCCCTTCATTAATATTCGGAAACTGTATAGCTGTATCTTAGATCCACAAACGTTTTACGATAGGAACTAATATTATTATTATATAACTGAAAAAATATTATAATATAATAGTCACCGATAAAGATATATGGTCGGCAGGGCAATAAAGAAGATGAGTTTATTGACTGCGTAAAACTGAAATTTAATAAGTGAAAAATGCAAAACAAATTTCCATTAAAAGCAATCGTAACTTTCGATGATCCAATTCGTTCTCGAGGACGTGTTGTAATTTTGTTTTAATTGTAAAGGAAATATCGACAAGTTTATGCACCACAAAATGGTTGTCAAATCATCGGATTTGTTGGATGTCACAATATTATGATTTATGTTGGTTACATTATGTTATTAGATTTTATAGATTATACGCAATGCTTTTTATTCATATGGAATACAAGTTCAGGTATATCTAAAATAAAAAAGGTAAAGATAACGTAATTTCATCTACGTAAACAATATGTTTCATGTATAAAAGGAACAGAGTAAAATTGTTGTATTCATATTATTATACTCGTACACGCACGTAGAAATGCTACCTACCTTTGATATAATATTACATTTCTGTTAACTTAGTATTTTCATCGTGTATTGTGTATACAATCGTGAGATGTGTGCACAGTAGTTAAAAAATAATTAGTTTATAAGTTAATTATTCAGTCACTATATCGGATCAAGTATTTTCTTTTTTTTTTCCACTTTTGAATTTCATTCGTGTAGTACGAGTTAAAAATGTTTTATCTGACAACGACTAGCTGTATAGGATTTAGATAGACAGTTTTTGCTCTTTGTAATTGAAAATTAAAAACGTTTGTAACTAACGACTGGTACTTACATATATTACCTACATATTATAATAATACCCCAACAGTTTAACAACATTAAATAATACTTAATAATTTTGAATTATCAAACAATATGCTAATATTCAAATATTAATTTTGGTCTAATAGCTATTTTATTGCTATATTTTCATAATATTATAGTTTCTATAAAATCACAGCCGTACTAATTTAAATTTCCCAAACAACCAAGCGAAAACTTCAGGGTTTACCTTCAACAATGTATTGCCGCTGATGGTTCTCATATTGGTGATATAATTTTCAAAACACGATTGTTCGAAATGGGATTACCCACTGTTTTTTAATAAAATAAACCACTTTCCTCTAAGTTGTAATGTACGTTATTTATAGACCCTCAAAACTCGACAGTCCCGTAATCCGTATAAAACTATTATCGAGACTTATTGGTCAGAAGTAATCCAATTTTTTTTTTTATGTTTTCACAGTACTTCAATGTATATCTAAATCAAAATCCTCTCCCTAACGAGTAAGAGAGAGATGACAAGATTCGATAAAATATATTTGTTAATACACGTTACCATTTCGATTTTGAAACTTTTTAGAATGTATTTTTTGTTCAATAAACTAAGTACAATACAAAACTCTGTGAATACAGCTGCTAATAAATATCTTAAAAGTACCTACTTACTTCCAAATCAATCATATAAGTAGGTACCTATAAGTTCTGTAGTGTGAATTTTAATATCTAAACATAAATTTTCTGATGAATATGACAAAAAAGCGTTATAATTTGATAATCATACATTATACATAGTCCAGTGTAGATTTTACTGATCAGACATTTCACACTTACTATAGGATTTATAATATTGATGGTGGTATTATAATATAATAAACAGTTTTATAGTAGGTAGGTATTAATTGTAAATCAGAACGACTTACTGAAATTAAAATTATTTCTGAACTCAACAATCCACCCTATAGTTTTTAGGGACAGAAAAAAATGTTTTATACAATACGATATTATGCTTGTTTGTACAATTGTATAACAGTATTGTTTTATCAGTTCGACAAATTAAAATTATTTTTCATGACTAGGTTATGCGGCAAACACGTTGTATTAATTTGAAACGGTTTTTTCATGATACATTTAAAATTAGTTTTTCATAACATGATAATATAACAATTGAATAATTAATAATAAAATAGTATTATAGCTATAGCTGTGTACGACGAACAGTTATATATTATACTCATCGAAATGAAAAAAAAAAGTGTTATTATGTTTACAATTCTACACAGGTAATATTGATTTGAATATTGTAGCTTGGCTAACACAAACAAAAATTAATGAAAACGTAATTTGTTTTTATACAATTTATAATTTGTACTGGTAAAAAATGGTAAAAAAGAAATGAATATAAACATTTTACCAAAGTAATTTTGAATGATCAGTATTTAACTGCAGTATGTTAACACTGACATTGATACATTAGATTAAGCTGCACTTGACTCGTTTTAATCGATATACCTACGTTGTAGTGCATATTAAACACAATACATATTTTTTTTGAGTAGATTATGTGGAGGTTCAAATATTTTCTTGATCGAATAAAATTTTTTCTAAGAAATGAAAGGGGAAAGGAACGAGATTCTTATATAAAACGGAACTTTCCCAAATCTGAATAGTTTATAAAAAAGTATTCTTTTTCGGTTAAAAACGTTGTCTGTATAAAGATTTGCCATCACATAATATTATTATAATCGTTATATACATGCAAATATTACTTGTCACGATAAGTTCGTATCTCAGTGTGTCAGTGTTTGAATTTGATCTATATAAATGTGCTTAATATGTATGCTCAAAAACACGTGAATTCACATAATAATATTATATTATATGCCATTGTAAGATCATTTTATGGAACTTATCCAATATCATAACAATATATCCGACATAAAAAATCGGGAAAAGTTGCATGCAGCACCTACCCATTTAAATTCGATTCAAATATCGTTCGATACAACAATATGTTTCGATAATATTATATTGCAGTAAGGTATTTTTTTTTTTTCAAACCGTCCAGAAGAACCGTTTATCATATTGCTTTTAAACCCAATGACGCGTCCATTTGCGCATCCCCTCACCACCTATTTCTCACCCCGACAAGGAACGCGTTTTTCCACAGTTTCATTTTTTTATTTTATTTTAGAACACCTTTGCGATGTGTTTACCGGTGGAGTTACATGGTACGAGCTAGCGAAAGGTTTATACGAAATGTTTAATGTTTAATATTATATTATACTTACACGTATTCCTGGAAGCTATTGGTGGTGATGCCGTCCGGCCACTCGGCGTAGCATATGACCCTCTGGTCACCGTTGGGAAACTGTTCCGTGTGCGTGGTGAAGAATATCAGGTTCGGTATGGACAGTATGGTGCCCACCACCCAAATGCTGGTGGCTATCATCAGCGTCGTCTTCCGGCCCAGACGAGGCCTCAGAGGGTGAATTATTGCTATGTACCTGCAACGTGAAGGTTAGGTTAGAGGGGTATACTGTAGGATTAATGCAAAACCTATTCCGCCGATTTAAATCAGTTACTCTCCTCGTGGGACATAATGCACTCAGTATTACCTACACAAACACACACTCACGTTTAATCTTGTCGATAAATGTAAATACATTTTAATGCTATCAAAGTGTTTCCTTTTTTACCTGAACTATTAATGATACCTGAACCGTAGTATTTGCAAGATACCTACTGTATAAGTTTTAAACGGAAGGCAGCAGCCCGGAATTAAGTCGTATATACCTCGGAGAGATCAAACGTCTAGAATACTAATACAACAGGACAAGTTACTACATAATAATATAGTCTGCTGCGTTCAAACATTATCGGTGATATTAAATTCCGACGATGTCGATATATTTACAATTTTAATGAAACGTCAAATTAATTTTTTAAAAATAATATGAGTTCATACTTTTAAAAATTGGTCGTAATTTATTATGATAGCTGCAAGTGCAATATTTCTAACAAAAACACTGTTATATTTACTATTAATAATAACGGTACTAAAGTAATTATAAATACACTATAAATGTATGTAAATTATTCATGTGTAGAAAATATAGTTTGGATAAAATGGTTTTAAATTTAATCACACTGCTATACCGCCATGAAGTGCTTAGTGCTATTATTGAATAGCTTCTTCAATCAAGCCAACCATATGACCTATTATGTATCCCTCCATTGTGATTATTGTAAATATATTTTATACAGATTGTACAAATTAAATAAATATGATAAAAAGAAAAAAAATTAATCACATTTATTATATTCCGCAACTAAATAGTCACAGATTGAATAAAAAAAAAAAAACAACAAATATTATAAATTATAATGATTAATTTATTTGTTAAAATAAACTTTATTTCTTAAACTGTGAATTGAAGTTGACAGAATATTTTTTACTTTTAAAATATACTTATATCAATTTTGTAAAAAAATAAACTTACTGATTCTTATCAGTACCTATATAGTCACAATGTGTTTAGTTTTCATTAATTTTTATTATATTAATTAAATTATAAACGTTTTACAACAGTGTTCCGGTTCATCATGCTGACCTTTGCCTTCGGTTCCGATTCTTAAAAATACGTTCCCGTTTTTAAAATTTAATAGAAATAAATTATAGCCAATTTTGTTTTTTTTCTATTTTAGTAGCTATAGCACCTAGATAATAATATATTAAAACGCCTATACAAAGCTAAAATTACTATTCCCGTTTCAAAAAGTGAATGTGAGTAAAATTGTAGTTCAACGAATGAAATTATAAAACCTTTAAAAGCTGAATTAATCATAATATTAATACAGTTTATTTATTTTTATTCACAAATCGTGTAAGTCCATCACTCACAGGAATCTTATCCCAAGAATTATACAAAATATGATTAGCATTCATCTGATGATACTGCTAGTCGACAAATTGAAAAATAATTACAAATAATGCGAGGTACAGTGGAAATCGTTAAAAAAATGTAAAATGTAAAATTATTTATTTATATATTTTTTTTACATTTGTAAGTAATTATTGTTTATTATTTTAATTTTTAAGTAATCATCTGGCTTTCATGATTGTACTTTAGCAAAACATGCTTTTACAATTTAAATAAAAAATAATCATTTTTATAACAAGTAAGAATTATATTTAGTAGTATTATATTATATTAACGTTTATTCATGTAGATAGTGTTTAATTCGCTGATATTCAGCAAATACACATACACAATATAATATGTATGTATAAAAAAATCATATAAAAAATTACATTTTGACTGTGACACAGTAAATACTAATATTAGTAATACTTCATATTATTTATTTTTTTTTTTTTTTGACCTTAAGCCGTCTATGGCCATTAGCTGTATTGGTTTTGTACGTTTTTAATGTCGGTAGGGGTGGAACACGCGTGTGTTGAGTTTGGCAGAATTTTTGATTGGGCACCCGTAGGTATCTGCCATGCCCGGGTGAGGGATGGCAGCACTTGTTCTCCGGACACCGTGACTTGCCCGAAGAAAAATGCCACCCGTGACCAAGGAATCGAGCCGGGGTCGGCTGCGTCACAACCGACGCCTTGGACCGCCCGGCTACTTCGTCCCCCCTTCATATTATTATATTTAATAAGATATATACTTTTCACCCAGTTCCATGAAGTATTTACAACGACCCTTGGTAAGGGCTAAAATATAATATGTATTATCCTAATCAATTCTCAATATTTTACTCGGGAAGTCTGGACACAATTATATTTAAAAACCATTAAACATAAATTGTTGCCCTTACCCACTTATATAGAATGTACAAATAAATAGGAAGTATATAGGTTATTTTGTTTTTGAAATATCTTGCGGACCTGAAACAAAACCTCTCAAGTGCATCACATGTGTATATTATGTATAACATTTTTTTACAACAGTATACTCGGTGTACCTATATGGAGCATATAATATAGCACATAAGTTAAAATTGTGGTACATTTCCCTCAGACGAGAATAACATAAAAGGGCCATTCAAAATTATGTAGGAAAATGTGAGAGATTTCACTAGGCCCTAATGCAATTCCTGCCGATTTTGTAATCTAGATAAATCTGTATAAATTATAAATCTATACCAATACAGTATATACATGTTTATGTGACGTGTGCAGCATAATACCTGACACCTGTGTTAAATATATGTATTGATTCCGTTAAACAATATTCTATATTTCCTTTTAAAAAAATTGAATTTATATTATTAAAAAGTGTATTTTATTTGGTGGGTGCCTATATACGTTTATTCAAAATCTAAAATGCAGCTGAAAATACATGAATAAAACATTTGCACTATTGAATTTCCAACCAAATACGCATATTGCATAATATGTACAATACCTACTACAATATACATTGTTGTACCAATATGCAGTGCAATATTATGGAGTGAGTATAAATACATGTTATAATGTTATTATTTCAAGCACATTGAAGCACCTTTTGGGCATGTGGCGTGGCGTATTTATTTTGGTAAACTATTAAATAGTTCAATATTATTTCAAGCTTGCTAATTTAATCTACAATATTTATTTCCTTTAAATGCATTATTTTGTTTTACACGCTCAACAGCTAGACACAGCAACCCATTTATTGTAATGTTATGTGAAATGTGTTCAAACGAAAATGCACACTAACACATTATAAAACATGTATTACGAGCTTAAACGTGCCTCTTATTTATGGATTAATGTCCATACAATCATACATATATTTACTATTATATTATTAAACTATGTAGATATGTATAAAAACTAAAAAAAAAAAATAGCTTTTTGAAATAATTGTTTTTATTACTATGACGTACTTGTACTGAGTATAGTATGAGAATAAAAACAAACAAAGGTCTCTGGTGAGACAAAAATAATTATATATTACATAAACGCGACAAGAACATAGTTATCATATTAATTAAAATTAACAGCTATTTAATTATAAGCTTTAGTGTGTGTGAGTCGTGTATGTGTATTTTAAAAGGATAAGTACCTACGTAAATATTACCATCATAAAATGATTACCAGCTAATGTAGTTAATGTAATAACGCTCAATGAGGGTTGAAATGGATTGCGTAATCATAGGTATATGTGATGATTATTTCGGAATGGTATGGGCATCGTGATGATAGAATTGGTCATCGTCCAAAATAGAGTAACCGTAATTTCCGCAAAAATAATAAATTACAAACATCCTAATACCTTTTGATCTGAAAAGTCGAAGAGATAGCGATAAACGCCGAATTTTCAATTTAGATGACACCGGAGGGGGTCCGAGGGACGTTAGTAGTAAAATAATTTACTATAGGTACATTTGGATCGATCACATAATTTAATGAAATATAAAGAAGAAAAAACCGGGGAAGTAACTGTCTGTGTATATAGTATAGGTATAGCTAAGGTGCCTACTGTATTTCATCATATTGAACTGGGTGGCCGTATTGTATTAATTATAGCGGTATTTTAATTTAACGATAAATCATTATTTTTGAAATTATTTTTCTACTAGTAATACGATATGTTGAACTAATTTTTGTAAAAATTTTCCTACGAACAAGGTTTTTAAATTACAACAAAATACCTAGAACCATTATTTTTTGTTTAAATATCGAATTTCTTCGCCATTTGAACTTGAAATATTAGGTATTGTCTATAAAATAAAATTGTTCATTTAAATATTTTGATATTATGGTAGGTATCTAGATTCTAGATTCAACAAATGGTTTCATATAGAACAGCATGGGAGTAATCTACCCTCTATTATTTGATAAATTATATGAGACGTATCGACACGTTAATGTACATTTATATTTATATTTATAAGCGCAAATAGATTTCAATTGTCCCCCAATTGTTCCTATTTTTCTTTTAAGCTCATTCAATAATATTATATTGTTCTTCAGCCCCTCCCCCCCCTTAAATATCAAACGCTATTGGGCCTATGTGTGTACATTAATTATCTGATATTAACAGTAACATAATATTTTATAATCGCTGCTGTGTAGCGGGGATATCCACTTTACCATCGATTCAACAGGAATTTAAAATCAAACGTTCAGTGCAGACGTGACAAAAAACATAATATATAAAAATATACAGTACCCACTCGGGACTTCCATTTCAAACGATATGGCGCTAACTCCAAAAGCCATTTCAGAGTGTACAATAACCACTTATTGGCAAAAAAAAGCACCCAGTTGTTCATTCATCAACTTCTACTTCACAAAACTAAAATTTGTAGCAGACCAGTATCCGCATTTTGTGCAAAATAATCGATAATTGTGTCAATTTTATTCGGCCCGATCAATCAGCGGTAATATAGTAAATAATAATAGAATGTTTGATAAAGTCGTATTATTGTTTGTAAAAAGTTGCCAAC